TGAGGTTGATATGTGGGAGATCATGTGAGGAATAAACGAAAGCTTGTGTAGAGTGGTGGAGCCAGGTTGAAAAGACTAATATAATAATTGACAAATATTCAGCTTATATTTTATAAATGTATATCCACTACAATGAGAGGGATTCAAGTTTTCTCTAACCGTTTTCAGCTAGTTTTTAAGTGTGTAATATTTTCTTTGACCTTCCCATAGTATGAAATTAAAAAGCATCCGGAAAAGAGTATTAAAATATATTGGGTTCGTCAACGACCTATCTGCTTTGATGTGAGACCCTTAATTCACTTTCAATCTTCAGCGAGAACGTTCTGTGAGGTTTTATCGTTTTCAAAATTAGATTTCTGTTTATTTATCTGGCGATAGGTTTTGAAAGTCTATTTGTTTACTTACATTGGATGTAATGACTGCAGCTGTTTGTCTACTATAACAGATTTAATCTAAATCCTGGCAAATCTGGCTTCATTTTATGTATATGACAACGAGTGTCAGCATTCAGTAAAAAAATCGACTCTTTCTGATAGATCATTTTAAGGTCGGCAGAATTTTTCAATTCTAAATATCGATTCCATTGATAAGCCATCTAAAACACAGCCAACTTGTCACTAACGTTTGATTCATGATTAGGGATAAACTCATCAGATACCAGCCAGAAGATAGTTGGAAATGAAGGTGTTTCAGGCCAGTGTTTTATGATTACAAAAATTCTCACTAAAAATCCTAGAATCTAAGTTAACTCGTGATAATTTCTTAGAATTTCTGTCACATCTGTTTCGTAATATAATAAGTTATGTAGTACATTATTTCTCTATAAGTTGTGGTTGAATTCAGGATGTGATTATTTTAGAATATCATGAATCAGTTGCATTATGTATTGATTTTAAGCATAACGCTTTATTCTTTTTGAAAGGCTAGGATTGAATTCATGATCACTGCAGCCTTGAGAAGTTCATTAACCATCCACTGGTATGGCTCATATTACTTTATCTTGTTCATTGTATAGAAAGTACTTTCTATTCGTCATATTCAATACAGCAGGTTAAAACAACATAAAAACACACCTTTCACAAATATGCCAATACTTTGAAGAATTAAAATTGGAAGCCTTGATGACCATCTTTTTATGCTGATATATATCTGTTAAAATAAGTGTAGAACTCTGTCACTGTGGTAGACACTATACTTAATAAAATTAAGAAGTCTACAACTTATTTGATGTGCCAACTAACGATGTCTGTAAGTAAGTATAAATGGTCCAATTTAGTGCTGAAAACTGATAATCCTTTCAGAATTCATGACGCTATTAAGATTCATAAACCAGGTCATCCTGTTCGACACATTGTTGAATTCAGAAATGACCCCAACATAGGAACTAGTAAAGTAATTGGCATTGATATTATGTTCTGTTAGGAAGCGTTTGAATTAAACACTGGTAAACTTTTATGATTTAAAGCTATGGCTTAATGACCTACATATAGAAGAAGATAAAAAAGTGATTAGTTTCGATATAACAAGTTTTTATCATAAAACACCAATCAATACGGTACTAGAGGCAGTTAGAAATCGAATAAACATTGACTCGGAAATTATTCACAAAACTGAGATATCGGTTGATGGGATCACGTTAAGTGAACAGTTGTGCCTGGCCTTCACGGTCTTCACTTTTCAGGACAAAATATACAGACAAACAGAAGGAGTAGCAACGGAATCTCCAGTATCCTCAATCGTAGCACATATATTTATGGATATTTGGGAAATTTGGCTTTTTAAACGTTTAATCCTGCACTTTGCGTACAGCGGCGATATGTCGATGACACAGTTAGTGTGTTCAAATCAGAACATATCAACAATTTCCTCACACATAAACTCAGTAGTAAGCACAATACAATTCACTCACAAGATAGAAAACAAACAAGGAGAACTATCTATGTTATATTGCAGGATAAAATGATGGACTGACGGTGGTTTCGATGCTATCGTCTATGGAAAACCAACACATTCCAACAGGTATCTAGACATCAGGTCATCTCATCCAATGTCAGTCAGTGAAAGCAAATTCAATCAAATGTTTCAATAAACAGAACTACAAAAGTGACTAGTCAGTCCAACAACCTCAACAATGAACTGAAGCACATAGAAGAAACGCTGATAGTTAATAGTTATCCTCTACAGTTAATTGAGAAATTCCTAAGAACACATAACAAATGAAATAATAACAGCAACGCTGGTTGGAAGCAGTTCATATCCTCTGTTGTGTTACCCTATCAGGATGCAACATCGAAAGCTTTACGTGGGGTCTTCAACAAAGCTGGAATTAGGGTGTTTGTCATTTGAACCTACTAACTCACTGAGAAATAAGCGTTGTCGTATGACTCAATGATCCGATAGAATCGATCGAGCAGAATAATCTGATGTACCAAACTCCATCCAATGACTGCCATGACATGTGCATAGGTCAAAGCAGCCGGTCGGGTTCAGTTGGAATAGTGGAATATAGGAATTTAGTCAAATGAGGAATGACAGATCCCATTAGGATCAATAATCTGGAAGGTGGAACTCAACTTCTGCAATGCTTAGATTACTACACAGTCATACAATAGGGTGGGTGGATCAAACCACTCTACTTCAGTCCAATATGATTAGGTGGAGAGAGAGAGAGAGAGAGAGAGAGGTAGATTGCCTACTGAATCTTCATTCATCGAATCTACACACAGCACATGTGATAGGAATGACGCAACACTTGTGTGGGAGATATGCAGAACGTTGTTACTGGTAGGAACAAAGAATATGTGGTGATATGACGATGAAAGTGAGATGTCGAGAGGCGTGTGACTGCAGTGATACCAGTTCGAGTAGTGATTTGTGCTGGAAACATCATGAAGTGAAGTGAATAATAGTGTACCACTGTATGCTGTATATTAAATAATGAATGAATGTAATATGGAGATGCATATTTGTGGTAAGTGCTTCAGCTGAACAGTTGTGAATTTGTGGAACTACTGGAATGTTGAAGATTAATTCAGTAATGTACACTTTTCTGCAGTTAATACATTATCAGTGGACTTGAGCTTGTCTCGGTGGTGAAGTATTGCACTGTGTATATGTCATCAGTTGATTCATACATGTAATTGAACATCAACATTGATGCACAGACTTGAGTTAGACAATCACAAAAATGGAAAATCTTCTCGTCAGATACAAAATGAGACATTCACTTCGAAACAAAGGAGGTGAATATGAGACTGAAGGCTAAAATTATTTTCAAATTAATGGTCTGTGATATTTGATTGAGAGTATCAGTTATTTCGTTGGCATAATGAAGAAGGATCGGGAGAAGAGAATGTAGCGTCGAAACATTTATTGGAATTGTAGAGAAGCTTTTATTTCCTACAGACACCAATCGACCAGTGACCTGCTGATGAGTCAAGGGATTTCTGCCGATGGACTCCTACTGGTTAGTCCAAAGGTGTAGCACACCAGATTATTGCATTGTTTCACTTAGGAGCGATTTTGTAGAAGTTGTTGTGTAGACTTTGATCACTACTAAGCACTGACCTGTGTATGGCTGCATCGGTTATGCACAGATTACCAACGAGTATGCTGTTTGCAGTTTAGAAGAGAATACTTTTGATGAACCTCAGATTATAGAATGATGTTGTTACAGAAATGCTTCATGAAGGCTTGTTAAAGTCGTTTAGTGAGATGTTTTATGCCACCAACCTGGATACTTCTTTCTCATGCTGATAGATGATTTGTGAGTGTGTGAAGGAGAAGGTAGTGAGTTGTGTTTCACCGGTGTGTTTACAAGCTTACTGACCTCGATGGATGTGAGTTCACCAGTCCACTACACACTTGGTCGGTGAACGCGTTGATGAAGGTTACTGACTTTGTTTTCTGAAAGATAAACGCGAAAGTTTTCCGGAAACTTCATCTTAACGGCTCTAGTAAATCCTGATTTATCGTCTAAAGTGTGGGGGTTTAAAAGATGTCTGTAGACGAAGCTGCTTACATCAATCGTGAACAAAGATTCGCTTCACTCAATATTAGAAGGGTGCTCTGCATCACCGGTTAAGGAATTTTGAGTTGATGCGAAGGGTACAAGACAAGAATATTAAGTCAACTAAAGAGGTTGTAAACGTTAGTTGACTGGGATGGATTAGACATGTACCGTGCATGCCAAGTCGTACCTATTTCGAAGTTGGGTCAGTTTTGAAGTGGGTTCAGGGTGATCAGAATAAGACATGACACTAGTCAATGAAGTCTCTGATTATTGGTTTGAGTCGTGTTGGGAGATATGGACTGGTTGGCTGGGTTCCCCAAGATGATACAAATCAATGGTTGAGGACTCTTTGTGAAATTACTGAAAATCGGTCACAAGAACGCAGAGGTTTTCTTGAATATTCGCACTAATCGTTATCTTCAGATTATTATTCTCTCACACAACTCTGTCTACTTTGATATCTCTTTTCTTCTATGCACTTATACTTTGTATACCAATGTTAAATGTGGCAACTTGAGTCGATACACATATGCGCAGGTTTCTACGTTGATTTTTTTTTTTTTGATAGTCAGTCATATATTTAGAATGTATAGCTGTGAAAGTGAGTCTTCACTGTAACCTCCTCTTTGTTTTCCTATGGTAACCTACAGGTGACGTTTACTAAACCCAAACGCTTAGTAAATGTCATAAAGTTTTGAATTTAATATGATATCATCATCTCATTTGCATGCACTAATGAAGTGAATTCATCCTAAGCATTAGTTTATTACAAAGTTCATGTAAAAAATTCTACTAGGTATATAAATTGAATTCATTTCAATAAGGATTTATTACTATTTATGTGTCCTTAGAAAATTCTAACCATTTTAACTGGACTGACACCAGATGAAATGATTATTCTATGTTCATTAGCTTTTTGTCAATGTCCAATATATCGATGACCAGCCTACACAATAATTAAATATCTGTTGAGCATAAGAAAATGATTGATTAAGGAATTTTTTTTTTATATTTAACTAACAAATACAAGTCAAATAATTGAAATGGTAAATAAATACAAAATGTTATATAAGTGATAAATTTTTCTTATAAATATGATAACCATATTTGTTATTCTTTATCATTCGACTCCTTTCTATTGTATCATACTGAAATCGCCTATTGTAATAGCATTAACCAGATTTAAATAAGAGTACTGCACGATCTTCAAGGTAGAAGTAGATGAAATTTTGGGTCTCATGAGTTACATAACTTTTGGGAAGAAAAAAAGTAAACAAGAAGAAACTTTTAATATGTATATATATATATATATATGATGAATATAAACAATGATGTATACTATAAACTTAATAATAAGTTACAATTAAAAATACTATACAATATATGAATGTTGATATAAATAACTTACCTGCCATAATGTCTTCCAACAATACAATGCCATGTAGGATTATATTTACGATCAAACTCTTTTTTAATGAATGCTGCAACATCTTTTTCTACATCATATTTATCTAATGCACTTGCTGCAACATGAACAGCATCATCTTGCATTTCAGGACTCATATCAGCATTCTTAATAACAGCTTTACGTTCACCCATTTTCTTATGTTAATTTTGTATAATAATTAAGTTTGTTTTGTTTTTTGTTTTTTTTGACTATATTATATACAGTTATATAGATTTTATTATCTAATCCACTCTAATATTTGATTGAGTTCTTGAAATATAATTTACCTTCAGTAACTTGGCTTCGTTTCAATTGACACACATACCAGAAAATGAAATACTTTTTATCGGTTGAAGCAATCAGGTTGGTTGTATGTTTACACTTGATAGGTTATTAGTTCCTGTATATTTTTAACTGTATACAACTCACAATGTATCAAATCTACTAGTTCGGATAGATACATGTAGTGTATATTACACAATTGTTGTATTTCTCTTATTGAGTAGACTAATATCTGTCTCCCTTCGAATGTATATTGTAGTGATGGGTTAAAGCATGTAATACTGTTTTATGCTTGTAAAAATCAATAAACCACTTGGTTTATATATTAAAGCCAGTTTATTCAAAGTGAATGAGTGTAGATGTATGTATGCATGTGTGTGTGTATGTGTATATCTATCCATGCTTGTGTAAATATTGATGTAGATACAAGGAAATTTGTGCATAAACAAGATTGTTTTCATGGTGAGAAATTGATTTTCAGGTTGGATTACCTAATGTATAGAATCTAAGTTACAATGGTTCAATAAAAGTATCACAATTGTTACAATATTCGAACTGTTTAACTAAACTGCTTCATCTAAAAACATAAGTAATCTTTAGAGTATATTTGTTGTATGTGATGAAACTGGTGGGTAGCCGAATTCGAATCAGAGACCACCGGGTTTCCAGCCCGATACTTTACCAGCTGAAATATGAGGTTCGACTGCTGATCAGATTTTTAATTCACTTTACTCTACTACCATGTGAATTTGTGACGTGTTACTACCACTTGATCGTACTCACATTGGCTGTCTCTTTACGACCTCTCATCCCAATCCCAATCCAAGTGAATTAGAGAAGGGGAACATCATATTGGTTATCATTTAGACTATCTGAACGAGAGAGCAGTGGTTTGGTACACCAGTATTTATACTGGGTAATGAATGACAATGAAACGAAAATTTTGGACCGTGACCGGATTTGCATTACCGACTGCCGGGTTTCCTGTCCAATGCTCTACCAACTGACCTACGAGGCCCTACTGTTGACCAGGTTTTTTTCACTTCAGCCACTAAGGGTTTTGCCTGAGTACCCTAATATGTAAATAACGTGGTAAAATTATTCTGTTTTAAATTCAGTCTGTTAGAAACAAGTGTCAGAGATTTATTTTAAAAAAATATAAGCCAATTATACCTACGTCATCATAATGAATATGTTCACTATTTGTGGTATCACTCTGAACCTAGTAGCAGCGTATTTTCCAGTAGTTTTGACACAGCTCTTTAAAAACTTTTGCTATGATTCAAAGGCCATACAAATGAACTGAGTTCGTTCCTTTCGATTGCGTCTTCTTCTTCAAGTCCTACAAGGTTGGGGAATTCTCTCTAGAAAAGTCTTTTGTTTATATTAATTTTGGAGCCGATTACTACTAGGATTCAGTCCAGAATAGTTGCTTCCTTAATCGATTACGCTGCCTGACGATTAGTATGCGTAGAGCTTTGAGTAAAGAGGATGGTAGTTATCTGGTAAAATAGCTCCTATCAGACATTTACAAGAATTAAGGTGTTTGTGTAAAATAGTTTTAACTAAAAGATTTGAACGTACACCACTAGTTCTGTTGACAATCTTCAAAGATCTATGGAACATAGCGAGGTCTCACCAACTCGGGAAAGAATGAAGGAAAACAATAGAGGGGAATCAGCAAGATGCAGGAAGGAGCTCATAAAACACAAGGCGAGAGGCTGAATTGCACCAGATACTCTCAACTTCCTAATATACTAAGTTGGGTGGAAAATTCGTTTAAAACCTAATAGGATATGGGAGGACCAAGAAAGGTCTGAAGAAAAATACACTTGGAATATTCTCTATTACACAACCATCAACAGAACAAGAATCATGAGACTTAAGAACTTTACACAGTGTATGCTTACATCTGAAACTGAAGCGTGTCGTCTGACATTTTGAAGACTTAAGCACAAGGTAACATAGGCTGGGTTATTAAGGAATATGTGAACGTCAAACAGACCATGGTAGTTGTTATGGTGACATCTGCTCTTTCTGAATACATAACTTGGGTTGTTTAAATCCTGATTTTTACCGCTTCACACTGGTACACTTACACAGGTTTAAAAAAGTATTTTGTACTCAAGTAATACCCTGAGTTGCAGTTGTATAGTGAATGCAATGGCTAACTGTCGAACTTTAGAATACAAAAGTACTACAGTAAGTAATTAGATAAAGGAATTCAATTTGGGGATTTATGGAGATTTATTGATTTGTCAAGTTGATATTTATCATAGACTGACATCAGTTGGAGGAATATTGGAAATCTGGGAGGATTGGGCAGCTGTCTCGTCCTTTTGTGGGACTCCTCAACAGTGATACCGTGCTAGCAGCTATGGAACCTGAAGGTAATGGGTTCTATATCCAGTGGGGTCAAGGGTGCGCACTTCTGAAGAGTCACGTACTAGGATAAAACAGCTTTTCAGTGCTTCCAGGTTTTCACTGATTCTTCGATTGGTGTTAGTCATCTGTAAACAACTGGGAATTTGTTTAACGTAGAAGAATGGATCTAAAAGATTGGAAAGTAGTCTAATTTCTCAATCATATTCGGTTAAGTATTCTTTCTAAATAACCAAGCGGTCTAATTAAACCTCTCAGTTCAGATTGCAAAAGTTAGTTTTACCCTAATATTCACGTGGATAATTGCAAAGGGATAAAAAATTTAAAAACTTGCAACATTTATATCTTATCAAACAATCCATATTTTTTGTTACTGGGCAAGTTTTTATTTTAAAAGAATAAGTTGAATAAGACTGTAAATAATCATTTCTTTTTATAGCACTAACTAGTATTCCTTTTTCAAGAATACTGTTGTACTGTAATTTTATTCCAACGGGAACTCCAATTGCAAGAGTTTAGATTGATTAATCACTATAGAGTAGTCAATTTTATGTTATTATTTGTAAGCGCCAATCGAATTCCATCGACTAGGAGCCCTGTCAACTATCGGTGAGCAATTTACAGTTTTCGAAGGTCTATAAGGAAGGAAGGAAAGGTACCTGCCTACTGACTGGAAGAAGGGCTACCTTGACAAACTCCCAAAGAAGGGAGACCTATGTCTTTGCAAGAACTGGTGCAGAATCTTGCTCCACTCCTATCCACCCAAAGCTAGCAAAATATTATGCCGTATCATCCTGGAGAGACTAAAGAATGCACTGGATTCAAATCTACGACCTGAACAGGCTGGCTGGCTGGCTGGCTTCAGGAGGTACAAATCATGTGCGGACCAAATTGCAACGCTACACTACACATCATCATGGAACAGAGTATAGAATGACAGTCATCTCTCTCTCTACCTCAACTTCATCTACTTTAAAAAGGCCTTCGGCAGCATCGGCCGAGAAGTAACTTGGCAGCCAGTTGCTTCAACACTACGGAATACCACAAACCTTTATCAATCTCATTCAACAACTATATGAAGACGTCACATGCCAAGTGATTCACAATGAAAAGCTCAGCTCAGTGATGCCTTTGCATTGAAGTGAAGACAGGAGTGAAACAAGGCTGTCTACTATCACCCATGATCTTCCTGATTGTAGTGTTCTGGATCATGCAACAAGATGAGCATATGCTGGACTGATGAAAAGACCGTAGAAGAAGATTTGGATTTTGCCGATGACTTATGTCTAATGTCGCACGGAGTTGAAGATCTACAGGCGAAATCTAACAAGTTGACAGAAGAGATTAGACAAGGCAGCGAAGACGGGACTTCAAGTGAACGTAGAGAAGACAGAGGTGATGAAGATACCGAACCAACAACAACTATCAACAACAGCAACAAGAAGTTCCAATCACCACCAAGGGGAGAAACCTAATGAAGGAGGTCTGTTTCACCTATCTGGGCAGCAGTGTTTCAACTACGGGTGGCACAGGCTCACACGAGGACATCAAAGCCGGGATCGGAAAGACAGCAAGACAGGCATCCATTAACCTGAAACCAGTGTGGAGATCTACTTCACTCAGCACAAAAAACAAGATTCGAATTTTCAACGTCAGTGCTTCTGTGTAATGGTTGAGAGACTTGGCGCGTTACGAAAGGGGTTTCCAACAAACTGCAGACATTCATTAACAACTGCCTACATTGGCTCGTTACTGAAGATCAGATGACCAGAATAATCAGAATAAGTAACAAGGAACTTTGGCAACGAACCATCCGAGAACCTATCACTCGAGAAATATGCAGAAGGAAGTGGAGATGGATTGTATTGAGCATACACTGAGAAGGCCGACTGGGGACATCATGCTCCAGGCTAGGCCCTCGAGTGGAACCTATAGGGGAAACAACGAGTTGGGCGTCTGAGGGTGACATGGAGGAGATCATATGAGGAAGAAATGAAAGCTTGTGGGCAGTTGTGGCGCCAGGTCCAAAAGACTACAGAGAAGAGAGTGGAATGGCGACGTGCTATTGTATCCCCATGTTCCACCCAAGGGGAAAATAATATAATAATAATTAGCCTCTATAATTTTGATTCAAAGAAATTTAAGTGTATTTAATGAGCCAAATTAATCTGTGTAAATGCAATTTAAGGTAAAATATTTTAGATGAAACAAAAGTTAATTTATATGAAAATGTTTCAGTTTACCTTCCAAAATGTTTCCCAACTATACAATGCCAGTTTGGAATATATTTACGATCAAATTCTTTTTTAATATAAGCAGCAATATCTTTTTCTACATCATATTTATCCATTGCAGCTGATGCTACATATACAGCATCATCTTGTACAGCTCTATCCATATCAGCATTTTTGATAACAGCTTTACGTTCAGACATTTCAATGGAATTCGTTTAATACTTCTAAGTTAAATTTATAAATTAGTAGCATATTTATACTATGAATTTTATTCACTTATAATTTACTTTTTAACAGATGAATATCCTTAACACTTGAAAACATGTAATTGTGAAAATAGTTGTATTTAAGCATAGTAATAATTGTGTCATTGAAATACAAGTGAGATATATTTCACTTTAAGTGTATTCATGAAATAAATTCATACCATTTTGTTACTTGTATACAAAATAATCATATGGTCAAGAAATAAAGACAATGAGTAGTATTAGTAACATAAAATTATATAACTAAACATTATGATTATAGTAGTAATAATGACAATTACATTTATAACAATTATCATATGATAACTGACACGAAGTATACTATATTATAAGATTGTAATAATTGTTATATAACTGAACTTTACTAGTCATCAAGAATTTCACATTTTTATTAGTAGCATGGATTATGATGAGAGAAAATAGCTATTTTTTTTTCTTTCAAAATAATTAAGAAAGATCTAGTTTCTTGATAAATGAAATTCATTCATTTTTCTATGCATAATAGTGTACACTGGTAAGCAGAAATATAAATGTTCTGTTACTAGTTAGCTATGAAAGTGAGATTTCGTATGGTGTTATATATCTTTGAAGTTACACACCAAAGGTAAGTATAGAACAGGATATCTTATACTTTCAGAGCATATGTAAGTCATGGATCTAAATGGTATTTATTTCTAACCAGTGGGTCATAGTTTCAGACTACACTTTGTTTGCCAAGATTTAGGCTGCTGAGCAGAATCATAAGCTTCCAAGCAATAGGTTAAGGTAATCGACTAATCCACACACATTCAAGGGATTGCTGGGAGAACTTGGTAGACTTAATAATGTCACGTAGTCAGCTTTTATTCAAATAAAATATGGTCATAACTTTCTGTTGTCTGTAAAGATATTTTAGGGAACACAGTTTAATCTCAGATACGAAATCGTTTTGTACTTACGTGGACTAGTAGGAGTGAGTCTAAGATTTTGCCTGTTTAGTATATTTCAGGCTTCATAAGGATAGGTTTTCTTCAAGAACTCAACAAGGCATGAAATAGCACTCTAATTGCATGAATAATACTTTATGTACAGATATGAATCCACTGATCAAAACGGCGTTCTGTTACTCGATTCTAATCGAAATCTTCCCGAAAATTCTTTATAAACCATACTCATAGAGAGACCTTGATCTTCTAAACAGCGACTGAAAACTCAATGAAATCGATTTTGTAACCAAAGGTATATGTAACTGAATCTTGCTAAAACTGAAAAGGAATGAAAATGAATTTCACTAAAGGATTTCAGTTAGTAATTTACTTTTAAAATAAAGGCATATTACTGTTTTATTTCTTATAGATAGTCATATTCTGTTTCCCTTTGATGTAATGTTCACCTGAAGGAGATGAAGACAAATGGCATACCAACTTCATAATGAAGGAGTTGATAGTGAACTGAAAAACGAATATATACTGTCAACTCTGTTACTAGATGAAAGCAATTACTTTTCATTCAAGGAGTATGATTCATCCTAGAACTAGATTTGGAACAATGTATATTTTATCAGGAAAGTGATAGCCCATATTTGACACAAAGAATACATGTCATAGTGCTTACACTTCTTCCAAACAGAAATATAATTATTAGTATTCCAAAAAGCTCGGAAGATACTCATCAATAAGAATGGCGTGATGGTGATATCTTTGCCGGTTATCCTACCATTAGTTCTTTTCAACAATAGGTACCATAAAGCTTCATATTTTGACTATATCTCTTCCTATTTTAAAACTGTTTTTCAAGTTGTTATTCGTCGTACACTGACATCAGCTGGAGGAACAAAGGAAACTTGTAAGCACTGAATAGCTGTTTTTTTATAGTGTGGGACTCCTCAGCAGTGCACACCCATAACACCGCACCACCAAGGATCGAATCCACGAGCTTCAGGTTCCGTGGCCAGCACATTACCATTGAGTCACTGGGTCAGAATCCAATCGTCCATATTTCCAACTTCTCTTAGCTCACGATATAGCTCAACCGCCACCCAAGATCATCGTTGAGTAACTGTCCTCATGACCATCAGCTTTGACTCCACCAGTCACGACTTCTCACTGGGACTTCGGGAATACCTCTCGAAGTTAGTCACCAATGAGCACCAGTTCAATTGAATTTTGAGGGAGTTGTGGAGATTTGTTTTAATGATTCAGATATCAAGACATCATGAAACGTAGTCTCGCGCATTCTTAAAATGTTTCCATCTAATAGTCCCACAAGATGACAACATAATTATATAGTAATATCATGGGAGGTGATGTACAACGGTTTGTTATATAACTATTGTGGTAGTAACTACTATTTATTGACATACTTGTTATTCTCCGTTGTTTTGTTGGATGGAACAGGACGAAACTCGCGTCCTGAGATTCTTCTGCTAGCCACAACCAATCAATTTATTGTGGTAGTAGTTGACAGGGACTAGGAATTTTTATAATGGCTGAATGATTCTCTGGCATGAAACTTACAGATGCTATTCTATTCATCTCCCAGTGCAATAAAGTACCCACAAACTAGACGACATCCTGAAAATAAAAAATCGTTGTGTATGTACTGCTGTTAGAATTAATATTATATAACTGCTTATAAACACAAAGGCCATAGTGATTACGAATATCCTGAAAGAAGTTTAGTGTTTTTTGACCTTCTAAACATGCTATGATTACATTAAAATTTACTTATCTAATTATTACACAACCACCATGGTTATTTAATTTGAAAATATTTTAAAGGGGTTAAATTTTCTGATATATCACAATCAGAATTCCGAATTGTGTTAAAAATTATTGTCTGGAATTAAGTGAATAATGTTTTTATTGATGTTATTATCATCATTAATGGTTTAGTTTCCCTTACTATATCTTATTAAAGTCTCTTTTGTTTTTATATGTGCAGCGGCCTGCTTGAACTTTGGTCTACCAAATCTATTCATCAAATTCTTGCCTTTCAATTTGTTTTAGTGATTTAAATATGTCCTTTGAACGTGTCATATACTCTTGCACATTTTTAAACTGTTTTCAACTCTTCGTTTATCGAGTGAGTAATATAACTGAGCAAAAATGTTACCTTATGTGGAAATGGACTTTTTGATGCATAAAAGTTCATTATATTTTTATCCATCAGATGCTTAGCTTGAACCGCTGTCACCAAAATTACGCTTGCATATCTGTTGATTCTTCATTATGAACCGGATGTACATCCAGAACCAGTTGGCCATTTCATATTATTGCCTTGAATACTGTTATTACTAACATCATACAGATGCTATAACCGTTTCGTCTGAGAGTATTGTTCTGAGAAAAAGTTTGTTAGAAGATCACATGCTGAGAATTCCATACTGTCATACATATTATTTAGAATAAAGCGATTATTATCAATTTACAACCACTGAAACATTCTTATTCTACAATAACCGAGCTATTTAACATGATAAGGTTAAATAACTGTTATAGGCTTTATCATTCAAACTGACCATTTGATCAAATGGTCCTCAATAGTCTACAAAGCAACTTCAAATTGTACTAGCAGTCAGATATAATCTTATGAATTGAAATATCAGCTAAAAACATCAATAGATACTAAAATGGTGTGATAAGTAGTTTGGTTATGAATATAGGAAGGAGATTTATATACCGTGAACTCGAGCAACACAGCTAGTAGACTGATAGAGAATACAAAAAAGGATTGATTGGAATAGAAATGATTGTTTGTTTTCATACCTACTTTTTTTGTCCAAACTTTACTATCTTGAACGTAAGTCCAATACACAGATGCATTTATACAAGCCTAGCATGTGGTTTATTCAGAATATCAATAATGTTATCGAAAATTAAAAATTACTCTCTTAATAGTTGAATCTAGTATGATAATGTTCCTTTTTGGTATTAGTCAAACAATGAAAGGTTCACTTTGCCATTTTGAAATAAAGTGAACTTATAAATACGATTATGAAAGAAATCTTTATTCAGTTTTCTTACATAAATGCAAAAACCTGTTTTACGTAGTTACAATGAGTATCTACGTCTGAACTAGCTATCAGAATGTCGTCCAAATAAGTATAGGTGAGACCTAGTCTACCTTAGACATCGTGAATAAAGCGTTGGAAAGTTTCCTCAGCGTTGCAGAGACAAAAGGCATGCGAAGAAACTCAAAAAGACCAAAAAGTGTAATGACCACTGTCTTGGAGACATCATCAAGAAGAACTGGGATCTGATGATAGGCGCGCGTCAAGTCAAGTTTACTGAAGACACATGATGCAAGGATGCAGTCAATTCGTGTATGTGAGGGACTGGTTAACGATCTGGAATCGTTTTAGCTTTGAGCCTTCGGCAATCGCCACAAGACCTCCAGTCGATGTCATTGTTTTTCGATACCACATGCAAGGGAGAAGACCATGGGCTGTTGTACGGTCCGATTATTCCCATTTCAAGCCTGTGTTCAAATTCGGCTTTGATGGCACACAGTTTCTCCAGGATGACCGCCATGGTTTAGCAAATACTGGTGGGCCAGTCGTCGTTATGTGATGCGAAATGTTAGAAGTCACACAAAGTACCCTACAATTTGGATTGAAGATATCCGGAAAGGATTGAATAGTAGACACGCAAGGATTAGAAGTGTCCATCGTGGAGTACACTGGACTGAGAGACGGCGTCTAAGGTACAATACAAGAAACGGAGAGCCTTCTGGTGGAATCAGTTAGTGATTTGATGCAAAAGCTAACTTTGGAAGCAATTTTAGAAAACCTAATCGGTCATTCCAATAGCTAATAAAGTGACTCTTCAGAGTCACTGTAAAAGAAACCGCGATAACTAGGTAAACGTCAGTTAGAACTGGAGGAAATAATTTCGAAATTCAAGCAGACAGAGAGAGAGAATCAGCGTAGAACCTCGCACATAAGTAATCCGATTCAAATTGCCTTACTTCAAAGTAGCACTTCAAGAATAAATGGATCAAAAAAGAGCAAACGAAGTTGTGTAAGAGAGCAAACAATCTGAAGATAATATTTAATGCGGATATTCAAAATTTAGATGTAAAGGAATAAATAAAATCTGCACCATTGTGACCGATTAGCAGTTGCGTCACCATGAGTCCTCAACTACTGATTCATTTTGTCTCGAGGACCTCAATTAAGCAGTTTACGTCTCCTCGCACGACTCAGACTAACAGCCAGGGACTTCGTCAATTGATACCAAGTCTTGATCTGGCCATCCTGAACCCTCGTCTGACCTAATCCAGGTCCAGTTAGCTTGGCATGGGTTGCGCAGCGCATGTTCAAGCTATCTTACTTAACTAAGGTTCGCATTCTTCTCAAACGACCTGCCTATCTTACCTAATACACTTTCTTTGACCTCAACATTGCTCACCCGGTGATTTCGCAATTCATAACGAGTTTAAAGGCGGAAGATCGTGTTTCTGAAGCAAACCATTTGTGTCTAATAAAATCTGTGAACTGTGGAAGCTAACAACTGAAATCAACTAGTACTTTATGGGAATTTTTATCATCGGTAATCAAATTTTAGACTCTAAGACAAGAAAGACTGTAAACCAAGTAAAACACAATCCAGTGTATGAGTTCGCTTCAAAAGAATTTCTGATCCTGCGGTTAGAATACAAAAAGTCTGTTACTTTCTACCATACACTTAACAATGAATTACTTTTTTCTCTGGTGTTATGAATTTCAAACTTAAAAAACTAAACCAAATGGTATGTTACACTTCTGTCTGGACAAACAGAATACAAGAAAGGTTAAAATTTTCATGGATTTATGATAAAATCCTCAAATATTTCAGATAAACGAAAAACACTTTGCCCATACGATTTTCTGTGTGGTGGTGTGAGCACGTCCGCTGTTATCTCTGCGTCGGTTTTCAGTGCTTCTGGTGGAATTCCATGTGGTCCTGCTGCTTCCCCACATTTCAGTAACTTTATGGGATTCAGGACTTGTGCTTTTATCGGAGGGCCTGTATTCACTTGTAGTTCTGCCGTTGCTGCTGTTATTTCTGGACGAGTTGCAGGTGGTGGTAGTGGTCTATTCAAGAGCTTTTTGAAGTGGTCAGCCAGTCGTTTCCTTTGTTTCTCCTGTTTGCTAAGTAGCTTTCCTTCATCATCTTTTATTGGTTTCATCTGTGTTGATCTCTTCCCAGATAGTAAGTAATCTGGTTATTTGGTATAAT